GGGTGTGTCAGGCGAGGGCGCGCTCAAGCGTGAAACGAGCCCAGCCGCGCGCTCACGTTGCCTGTAACCCGCTCCGGCCACCCAAACTATAACCTATCAGGGTTCAGAATTTTTCTCTGAAGGCGGTCACCACCATCACCCGGCATGGCTGATTCTCTGGGCCGCTCCGGCACGGGGCACCTTTCTGCATGCAAAGCCCTGCACGGGTCCTGAGCGGAAGTTGTTCAGCGCTCGGAACCGTAAACCCCCACATCCTGAAGGCCCCGAGCCCTCAATCTTAAAAGCCTCAGCCCAAATCCTACGCGCCCTGAACCCCAAATCCTAAGGACCCACACTCCCAAATCCTACAGGCCGCAAAACTTAAATCCTTGATCCTAACTGCCGTGAGTCTCAAATCCAAAATGCCACGGCCTAGATCCTAAATCCCCAAAGGAATAAGCCTGAGGAGGCTCAAAAAAGATATTCGAGGGGCTTTTAACGATGTCTGGGACCTCCCGAAGCCTCCAGACCCTCGAACCAGGCAAGAGGCTCCCAGCGGTGTCCAGGGCCCCAAGAATTTGCACCCTAAATCCGAAACTCCAAACGATCGCGCTTTATTTGCATAAAGGTTGTCTGGGTATGCCCCATCCCCTAATTGAGTACGGCATTGTCGTACGCTGGTTGGCCTGTCCAGGTCAGGTCCTCCGCCAAGCGTTTGCGCTGTCGCTGGATTGAGCGGCCCCGCTCTAAGTTTAAGGATCAAGGTTAAGGGATTGGGGTGCCCCTTGCAAAACCTCAGGCATGGTTGGGAAGCATAAAATCCACCCTAATATTTCAAACTCCCAACACCCCAATATACAATATTCCCTGTGTGGTATACTATCAACCTCAGATTGGGACCTAAGACTTCAGACTCAGGGTTGGGGGTTTCGACAATATGCTGGACAAACACCCTCCAAAAGCATTTGCCTAAGTCTAAATCCTAACCTCCCCAAGCCCCAAACCTGACACCCTTAAGCTCCCCAAACCACACGTCTGAGCTTCCGCACCCAGCAATCGTGATCGCTGTCACATGTTCCAAAGGGATCGCTTGCGCTTGCCTAGGGTTTAGGGTGTTGGAGTGTAAGGCTCAGGGATTTACCTGCACCCCAAAAACATGCAGAAGAATTGTCTTTTCCCTAGTCTTGAGGTCCAGGCAGGCTTTAAGTGTTTGAGGGTTCAGGGTTTAATGTTTAAGGCCTCAGAATGTTTGCAAGAACAATTCACAAACCATCCTTTTGAGGCGCAGCTATAATTTTTTTTTGCCACCTCATTATCCGATTTTTTTTCTCAAGATTGAGGTCCCCTGTACACCTTCAAATCAAATAAGTTTTTTGTTGCGGGAGATTCCTAAACCCAAAGCCCTTATCGGGTTTTGAGGCGCTTGCATACCTTCATTCGCTCTTTGCTGGGTATGTCACTTGCGAAGTGTACAATTCCAACTTCTGGTTGACCTCTGAGGCTAGCGGAGTTCAGCCCTGGCATGTAATCTGGATCGGTCAAAAAAGAAAAATCAAAATCAGGTATTCTGGAATAACAAACTCTTCAGCAAGCATTGCAGCGTTCTGGTTTTCTCACATGCGTCGTTTGTCACCTGACATTTCAGTCCATAAGCTCTGAGCCCTAATCGTCTGTAAAGTCTTCACCCCAAGTCAGGCTGGTGGCTTCAAAGCAGCTTGAAGTAGTCCTAATCTGTAATTGAAATGGGACGTGCTCAAACAACACGGTTAAGCATGCTGCTGATAAACTACCGCTAGTGCAAGATGTCTTTCAACACGCTAGGCCTTGTGAATCGTTGCATCTTCTTGAGCATGGACAGTGCCGGGTTTAGTCATCAACACATGCGATATGAATCTAGGGGTCGACAATTTCATCATGGGCCGGTGGCAGCATCACAATACCCGGGGTGGACTGACAACATACCTCGAAACCCTAAACCTCTAAACNNTATATACCCCTATAACCCCTATATCTAAAGATTATAGGTCCCAGGGTCCGCATCAAATTTTCTCCTATTCCGGAAAAAAGTAACTTATTCTGGATCCTAAAATCTAAAATAGGGGTTAGATAGGGATAATGG